AGGATAACCCTAACCACCCATATTTGAGAAATGCCCAATTTTTGTTTAGCATTCTTCTCCGTGCAACTGTGTGATATAAACAAATAATAAGTCTGTGTCACACACCAGGCAGACATCTAAAGCTCTTGCTAATATTGTTCAGTTGGGAAGCCAAGAGGGCATCTGGTTTGCGCCCCCACCACCACCACCACCCCTTTTTTGGAAACCCCTTAAGTAACATGCGGCATTTCACCACCAAATGAAATGCTCGTCAGTGTACCCCTAGCTGTGCCCTAGAGCTTCCCGCTTTCAACCAAGTCTTGATGTGTGCAGTGAGCCAGAACACCGCACACATAGCGTTCCATCCTCTTCACCCCAGAAAGTGACCCGGGACATTTTGCAGGGCAGTAGGTGTGGATGGGCCACTGCCTTGGCCAAGCTGATGTGGCAGAATTAGGATTGGGATTCCCTCAGAGTCCCCTTCCAGGCTGTGTGCTGTTGCCTCTTCACAGCCTTCCAGGTTCCAGCACAGAAGGTCCAGGTTGCATAGCCTGGTTGGTTTTGGCTTCTTACCCACCGCCCTCTAGCTGGGGAGCTGCGCCCACTCGCCTGGCCTGAGTGGCAGGTGGCTCTGGCAGGGCCAACTCTGATCCCGCCCACAAGTCCCCAGCACGACACTCTCACTCCCCACTCCCACGCTGTCTCCGGCATGCCACTCGGCTTCTGCAGACTTGCATAATGTATTTCTCTCGAGTTGCACTTGTACATCTGTTTATTTTTCATTTTTAAAACATGTTTTCTTGGAAAATTTATAAATATTTTAGCAGGTGCCCTTTCCCCATATAAATCTCTGTCTCTGACAGACTTGCACACGCTGCCTGCCACACTGCATTGGAGATAGGCACGTGCAGCTCATGTAGGAGCCTCCACGTGCCTGCCGGGCTGCGTTCGAGATGGGCACGTGCAGCTCATGTAGGAGCCTCCACGTGCCTGCCGGGCTGTGTTCAAGATGGACACGTGCAGCTCATGTAGGAGCCCCCACGTGCCTGCCGGGCTGCGTTCGAGATGGGCACGTGCAGCTCATGTAGGAGCCTCCACGTGCCTGCCGGGCTGTGTTCGAGATGGGCATGTGCAGCTTGTGTAGGAGCCCCCACATCAGATGTGTGCCCCCCCCACCCTCTCTGTCCCCCGCTTCATTTTCTCTCCCATCCTCACTCCACGCTACCCTCGATGTGTAGTTTCTCCATGTCACTGTGTGCCCTCTCTGGAGCCTCCTGATCCTCTCCACACAAGTAGTTGTGGTAAAACTTAAACCCCTCTCCCTTCTGGTGCTTAATTCCTCTCTCTGAGGGGGTGATGGACTTGAGAAGCACAAGAGCTTGTGTGGGATTTTCCTGAAGGAAAACACCTGAGAACCTCGGTCTCCACAGCCCTTTGTGCCCTCTTGCTGTCCAGGGAGAGTCAGCCTCACTACCCGGTCCCCAGCCGTCCTAACCAGCGTCTGTGTGCACAGTCTGCAACAAAGGCCAGCGAGCCTGCTGAGGTTGGATGGAACCATCTGAAATGGCCAATAATCACATTTTTTAAATTTTCATAGCATAAATATTTTCAAGAATTTTAGGTTCATAGCCAAATTGAATAGCAAACACATAATTCCCACATGCCCCCTGCTCCTGCACACTCCCAGCCTCCCCCATTATCAACATGCCCCACCAGTCACATTTGTTACAATTGGTGAACCTACACTGGCGCATCAGAATCGCCCAGTTGCCCTGACTGGGTTCGCTCCTTGGATAGAGCATCTGCCCATGGACTGAGGGGCCCCGGGTTTGATTCTGGTCTAGAACACACACCTCAGCTGAAGGCTCCATCCCTGGCCCTGGCCGGGGCCCACCGATCGATGTGTCTCACTCACATCAATGTTTCTCTCTGTCTCTCCCTCTCCCTTCCACTCTCTCTAAAAATAAATGGAAAACTGTCCTAGGGTGAGGAGTAACACACAGACACAAAAAATCACCCAAGTCCACAGTTCGTATGAGGGCTCACTCTTAGGGTACAGCCCATGGGTTTGGACAAATGTATAATAAACAACATAATACCATGTATCTATCACACAGAGTAGTTTCACTGCCCTAAAATTCTCTATGCCCAGCCTATTCATCCTTCCCACCCCACCCCACCCCAACCCCCTGGCAACCACTGGTCGCCATAGCTCTGCCTTGCTGTTATTTTTGACCTTCAGAAATGGCAATCTAATGCATCTAGGGGAGGTTCTCAGCTCTTGGTTTGAGACCAAGAGTTTTCCAGTTGATCCCCTGCAAACCCAAAATTCCAAGAAACAGGAACCTTGACTCCCAGAAGTGCTCTGAGCCCCAGCCAGTTTGGGTCAGTGGATAGAGCATCGGCCTGTGGACCAAAGGGTCCCAGGTTCAATTCCTGTCAAGGGCATGTACCTCGGTTGCAGACTCCCGGCCCTGGTCCACGGCGTGTGTGGGGCAACCAATAAATGTGTCTCTCTCACATCTGTGTTCCTCTCTGTCTCTCCCTCTCCCTTCCACTCTCTCTAAAAAAAATCAATGGAAAAAATGTCCTCAGGTAAGGATTAAAAAATAATAATTTAAAAAAATAAAATCTTTTTTAAAAGTGTTCTGGTTGGTGGTGATTTTACTGGTCACTTGGCCAGGCCACCGAGAGGGACAAAGAGCTGCCACGGGGGAGGTGTCAGGATCGGTGCCCGTCTGGGTGGGCAGCTCAGCGATGAGACCTGGCAGGAGTGCATATCCAGGCCCCCGGGAGGCATATGTTTTGAGTTTCTAGATCCTGGAGAGCCCAGCAACAAGGTCTCCCTCCGGCGCAGGCTTGACCCGGCGTCTCTTGTTTCCCCGTGTCCAGGTGTGCGAGAAGGAGAAGCTGCTGTCCGAGAGGAACCAGCTGAAAGCGTGCATGGGGGAGCTGCTGGACAACTTCTCCTGCCTCTCCCAGGAAGTCTGCCGCGACATCCAGAGCCCCGAGCAGGTCCAGGCCCTGCATCGGTACTGCCCTGTCCTCAGACCCATGGGTCTCCCTCCAGCCTCCAGTATTAGCCCCGCGCCCTTGGGCGTGGAGCAGAACCTTGCCGCCCCTCCGTGCGCGGTTGGGGACACCGTGCCCTGCTGTTTGGAGCAGGGTGCCGCGCCGCCCGGGCCCCCCTGGGCCCCCGGCAACGCCTCCGAGAACTGTACTTCTGCGCGGAGGCTGGAAGGCACTGACCCAGGAACCTTCGCGGAGAGAGGGCCTCCTCTGGAACCCAGGAGCCAAACGGTGACCGTGGACTTCTGCCAGGAAATGACTGATAAGTGTACAACCGACGAGCAGCCCAGGAAGGATTACACCTAGTGACGCGGCCCGCCTCCGCGTCCTCACACCTCCCCACCAGGTGGCGCTGTCCAGCTGTCGTCTGGAAGAACCGAGAAGGAATTTGGTGCACACTACAGCGGTCTCAGCAGCAATACTGTTTGCAAGTATTCCCTCCTCTCTCCACGCAGGAGTGATCGTTACCTTCACAATGGTGCTACCCCTTGCCCCGGCAAGGAAAGACAACAGTGGTGACACTGTCTGTCTGTGGGTTAATTTCAGTCTTAACAGGGATAGACTATAACACCTCTAGGACCCAACCACGGATTTTTTTCTCAGTGGCCCATGTCACAAACCCTATCTCAGGAATTTCTTCTGAATGTTCAATTTTTTTCATTGAAGACAGCTTCTATACACATCAAAGTTTTATAGCTAGACTGTACATATTATATATAATATATATATGAAATATATATCTCTCCATATGCAAAAGTCCTGCATGCCTCAACTTTCTCATCCTAAAACTGGAAACTTCATTTCTCATTGACAGACAGGTTCCAGCATTCCTCTTTTTTTGTCTCTGATGCTAGAACTAGTTTGGCAACTGTTAACATGGTCTTTTTTTTTTTTTCTTGCTTCACAGTTCAACTTCGATTTGTACTTATTTATGGACAGAATTCGATGTTGGAAGTCTTCATTTTGAGGTTTTTGTTTTCAGACAGCCTTTTTCTGTTTGGGTTTGGCACCGTCAGGTGGTGTCATCTGAGTTGGTGGGTTTGTTGTTTGTTTCTGCAGACACTGTACAGTCATGGTCAACTTTGCCACTTGCACTGAGTTTGGGGTCAAACCTATTTTCTTAAATGAAGTTGTAACTTCCGTATAACTCGAGTATACTGTATATTCTTTGCTTTTAGTTTAAAAGTAAAACACTTTAGCTCATTAAAAAACCACTCAGGTGATAATTAT